GTGTGTGTGTGTGTGTGTGTGTGTGTGTGTGTGTGTGTGTGTGTGTGTGTGTGTGTGAGCAAATGGACGTTCCTCGAAGCTTGTGGCCTGACTCTGGCATGCTGCTTACCTGCGCTTCTCCAGTTTTGAATGCCTTTTAATCAGGTGAAGAATGAGCCTCTCACTTCTGTGTACACTGAGTGACCAGAAAAATACGCCCCGTCGTACATTTCAGTGCAACCCAAAGCAGAGCTGTGTACTGGATTCCTTTGTTTTAGGGCTGTTGGAGGGATGGATTCAATAGTCTTTTTAGGGGAGCGTTGCCTTATTTGCTTGCATAATATCTAATGCAACGACATTTCTGATATTTGACATAATCCAGAATTTGTTCTCCTCTAAAGGCTGTTGTATTGTATTGCAGTACAACGTGAACTTCTGTTTTCTGGTCAGTCAGTGTAGAAGTACGCTTTGATGAGTCGTGAGGATAGGTCTGTTGTGGTGTGGACCAGGAATAGCTTTGAACTAATGTCATTAATCTTTTTCTTTGCTGGCATTTAACATGCATCGCTTGGGATAACTTATACTTTTGAACGCACTTTCAGTTTTCACAGTTGAAATACATCTTTTAGGGCCTTTGGGGAGACGTGCGGTGTTCCGCACTAAGATATCTCAAGTTGTATTAAATTGACCGTGTCCAAAGCAGAGTTGAGATCAGCACAGTGTATAATATATGCAGTTACCAAGTCAAATAAGTGATGTGAACATTTCCCCAAAGGTAAGAAGAAGACATATTCCAATCTTGAAAATTGTTATTATTTCCATATAATAAGTTGCACGCCGCAGGGATGCTCTCTGGCTAGTCCTCCTTGCTGTGCATTGCTTCTTCTTCTATAGTTTGTTGGGTTTTAACCTTTTCTTTTCCTACAGTTATTTAATGCAACTATGTACTGTTAAAAAGTATTTGTTTTTTTTCTGAGTTGATTCCAACACCATGTCAGATAATACCATTATTTGAGATTATCTTTTTCACCAACTTTGATCTTTTTCTCCCTCCAGGTTACGCCAAACCAGGCAATCCCCACCACACTACACCTGGAGTCAACAGCGGGCCCCTTCTTATCCCTCATGGCTCCACACCTTCTACCCCTGTCCCCCCTCACGCATCTCCTGCTCAGCCACCTCCCACAACCCCGATCACACCGGTCTTCCCCGGCATGGTTCCCTCTCACAATCCTAATTCTCCATCCCCGTCCGTGATCAAAGGAGGTCCACAGACCCCCGGCGGCCATGTTACACCGACGCCTTCGTCTGTCATTAAAGCCCACACGCCTTCCGGCACCCCTTGTGGGACTCCGGTCCCCGGCAGCGGGGGCTTCTCCCCTTCCCCATTCCATACCGTTTCCCGACCGGGCACCCCCGCCTCCTCCCGCAGTGGCCCAGACCCTTTATCTCAGACAAACGCCATGGGCTCAAACCAGCAGAGGGGTTTCTCTCAGTCCACGGATCACCAGTCAGGACCCACCCACCACGGCATACACCCGCAAGCAGGTAACCCCTCTGGGTCAGTGATCCGAAGTTACACCCCCTCTGGACAATCCGCTCCAGTTAATCCGAGCTGTTCCACCTCAGGTCCCAGTCCCAAGCCCTCCCCGTCTCATTCGGCACAGATTCAGGCTGCCATGGCCGCCGCCGGAGTGCTGAACAGACACACCGGGGGTAGTAACAGCGGCAGTAACAGCCCCGTGCCCTCTGCTTTCAAGGGCACCTCTCGCTCCGGCACACCCTCCGTTAGCTCGTACGTGGTACAAGGTTCCGCCCAGGCCGCCCTGGCTCGTTCCTTGGGTCTGTCGCACCCCTCGGGTTCCCCTCAAGTCTCCCTCTCTAGTCCGGTCGCTCTCACCGGCTTCCCAGCTCTGTCCTCCAGCACGGCACCCTCTCATTACCCTGGCCTGTCCCCCTTTTCCTCCCTTTCATCCTCTCTCCCGCCTTCGTCCATGCCCTCCATGTCTCCCAGTACCAACATGTCTAACCATCCACAAACCTCCATCTACACCGCTGCCGGTGCGGCCTCTCCTTTCGGTCTGGGCCCCTCGTTGTTCTCAGGCCTTCCTCCTGGTGCTAACCCCGCTGCTTTCCAAGCGCTGGGGGTTTCAGGAGGGCATGGTGCCGGGAGCCCTGTGTTGTCTTCATTCATGGGCCTGCCAGGGGCCTCTTCGGTAGCGTCGGTGTCGCCACTGCAGGCGGCAGCAGCGGCGGCAGCTGGAGTTCCATCGTCATCGCCAGTTTTACCGGGCTTTGCGTCGGCTTTCAGCTCCAACTTCCAGCCCGGGTATGTGAGCTTTGAACATTTTTACTTTCCAGTATTCAGTTACATGGATAATCTAAAATACACCGAATGATTTTATATTGATTTAGTGTTATTTCATTTAGTCTGACATGAAAAGACCAAAGCCGCTACTAAATTTAAATGTAGGTCTGTGGAAGTTACTGCTCTCCTCTCACTCTGTGCCGCAAAGCAAAACTAAAAATCTAATTCTATTCCTTTAAGTCAGTATACAAAATAATGTACCAATGGTTGTGTTAATAATTTTAAATGAATATACAAACAGTAGTAGTATATATATGGTTGGATATGTAATTCTCTTAAGTATACATGTGTTTATATTTGTCCCTACTTTACTAAACTAATTCGCTCTGGGTTCATTTCAACATGTCATTGCTTTCCACTATAAACAAAAACTCGTAAAGTGTGTATGTATGTATGTATGTAT